CAAAGTCATGTCCGACCCATTGTGACCCCATGGACAACATTCCTCCATGTTCTCCTGTCCTCCAACATCCCCTGGAGTCCACCTAAGCTCACACTGTCTGCTTCAGTGACTCCATCCAGCCACCTCATCCTCTGCCGTCCCCTTCTTTTGCCCTCAATCGTTTCCAGCATCAGGGTCTTCTCCGGGGAGTCCTTCCTTCTCATTAGGTGGCCAAAGTATTTGAGTTTCATCTTCAGGATCTGGCCTTCTAAAGAGCAGTCAGGGTTGCTCTCCTCTAAGACTGACTGGTTTGATATCCTTGAAGTCCAAGAGACTCACAGGAGTCTTCTCCAGCACCATAATTCAAAGGCCTCAATTCTTCAGCGCCCAGCTTTCCTTATAGTCCAGCTTTCACAGCCATACATTGCAACTGGGAAAACCATAGCCTTGACTATATGCACTTTTGTCGGCAGGCTGATGTCTCTGCTTTTAGTATGCTGTCTAGATTTGCCATAGCTTTCCTCCCAAGGAGCAAGCGTCTTTTAATTTCTTGGCTGCAGTCCCCATCTGTGGTGATCTTGGAGCCCAGGAAAATAAAATCTGTCACTATCTCCATTTCTTCCCCATCTATTTGCCAGGAAGTGTTAAGACTGGATGTCACAATCTTAGTTTTCTTGATGTTGAGTTTCAAGCCAACCTTTGTGCTCTCCTCTTTCATCTGCATCAAGAGGCTTTTTAGTTCCTCTTCACTTTCTGCCCTTAGAGTAGTATCATCTGCATATCTGAGGTTGTTGATATTTCTCCCAGCAATCTTAATTCCAACTGGTGATTCATCTAGGCCCACCTTTCTCATGATGTGCTCTGCATATAAGTTAAATAGGCAGGGCAACAGTATACAGCCTTGCCGAACTCCTTTCTCAATTTTGAACCAATCAGTGGTTCCGTGCCCAGTTCTCACTGTTGCTTCTTGACCCGCATACAGGTTTCTCAAGAGACAAATAAGATGGTCTGGTACTTCCACCTCTTTAAGAACTTGCCACAATTTGTTGTGATCCACACAATCAAAGGCTTTAGCATAGTCAATGAAGCAGAAGTAGATGTTTTTCTGGAACTCCCTAGCTTTCTCCATGATCCAGTGTATGC